AGCGCTTGTAAAATGGAAGATTCTAAAGGCGTATAAGAGCTACCTCGTGTAGTACGATAATCTTTCATAATGTGGTACTTTCATCTGTGCGGATTTGCTAGCGCTAGTGTGCAAAAAAGTAACCATCATAATGTGAACAGGGCATCAGTGTCTACCAGCATGAGATTTCAGGAGCAACTGAAATTCGTACTAGTTGGCTAGTACACTAGCGCTAGCTAATCTGTACAGATGTAAACAACCCATAAGTCGCCCATAGATATCCAAGTTTGTTAGAGTATTTGATTGAAAATTTCACAACCCAAGCAAGACACGTCCGTTAAAATAAGTTACTGCAACTTGATATTGACTGAAATAAGTTACATACAAGTATTCCACAACTGTTCAGTGACAAGTTTGCTGCTAGGGAATTCTATTGCGATATGAATCGCATTACGCATTTCTCCTAAAGATCGAAGCTACAAATAAGCTTGCATCTACAGAAAGCCCTCCGACCGCGTGTTAAAATTTTCGGTTTCTCCGAGCATTTATGTGAAACGGAGATCATCGACAAATTGAGGAAGCAGAATCGGATACCTGAATCGGCGTTTCTGAAAATTGTACGGATAACGAAAAACGAAAAAGCGAAATTCAACGCCATGTCCATGGTCGTTGAAGTCGATGCGAGCTCATATGACATACTGATCAAACTCAAACGCGTCATTATTGAATGGGATCAGTGCAAGGTTGTCGAGTTAGTTGACGTTAATAGATGCTATAACTGCTCAGAATACGGTCACAAATCATCAACGTGCAGCAAACCAGTATGTTGCCCAAAATGTGCGGAACCGCATGACGCACGTGAGTGCGTATCTGACTATGTGAAATGCATTAACTGCCACCAGATGAATAGACAACAGAAAGCTTCTCCTGAGGAACAATTGGACGTTTGCCACGCTGCGTGGAGTACGGAATGCCCGCTCTATTTGAAACGGCTTAAGCGTGCGCGACAACGGATCGACTACTCAACATAGCAATCAGCTTCAATTGGAGGATACATTTCGCCAGTAGCAGAAGCGCACCCTGCTCTGTCAGGTAATTTAGAATCTAGTATATGTCCTGCCGAGGCACCAGATACTGCACAACACATAAATGAGATTGCATTCCAGAACGCCCTGTATCAGTCACCTATTGCCGAGATTACCGATGATGTAGACATATCTTCAAAAGCAGTTGGGAACCCTGCTTCGACAGGTACATAGTAAATGTGCTACCGAAGCCTGTGATACCGCACGCCACTCAAGTAACTCCGTATTCCAGAACTGCTCGGACGTCGACTACCTCAGCATATATTATCAGAACGTCAGAGGTCTTCGTACTAAAGTCGATAGCCTCTTTACCTCGGTTTGCGATCCGGTAATGGACGTTCTGATTCTCACCGAGACTTGGTTAAACGATCAGTTTCATTCATTGCAGCTGTTCGGAAATGGATACAATGTGTACCGCAATGACCGTGATCCTATTTATTAGAACGGGCAGAGAGAGAGAGGTGGTGGTGTGTTGATTGCTATCTCAAAACGGTACAGTTCATCAAAATCTGTTATCGAAGATGACAGCGGCATAGAACAGCTCTGGGTTAATGTGAATGGAGGCTCTCGGACAATCTGCCTAGGTGTCGTATACATCCCTCCTGATTATTCTACATCCGCGGCCTACATTGATAAACATATCGGATCCACGTTAGCCATGTCTGAGAAACTGCAACATCAAGACTTTCACCTGCTGTTTGGCGATTACAACCAGCCTGGCCTTTGTTGGACGCCGTCAGCTACTGGACAGGATTACATTGCCTCTGTGGGCTCTACGTTTACTGCTGCAAGTGCTTCACTCGTGGATGGAATGGCATTACTTGACATGAAGCAGATAAACCCTACTGTGAATTACCTGAACCGAACCTTGGACTTGATATTTGCTAATTCCAATGCAGTTAAACACTGTGATGTAATTGAAACACCTGAAGCTCTTATTGATGCTGACCCGTTCCATCCTCCAGTTTTGGTCAACCTTGGCTGTCCGCCTCTGGTTCGGTACAATGACATACCTGACGAAAGGGAGTTCGACTTCTATCGTGCTGATTATGCTGGCTTGAGTGATGCTTTACGGACCACAGATTGGTCATTTCTGGATGTTGCTGACGTGAATGTGGCTGTTTCACTTTTCAACCAAACACTGACATCGGCTTCAACGGCTTAAACGCAAGCGTTCTGCTGCTTTGAAGAAATACTCTCGTGCGCGAGATGTGATCACCAAACGCAACTTTTCTAAAGCCAGCAACCGGTATAGAAACTATAACCGTCATCTATATTCGACATATGTTTTGCGTAAGCAAAATGAGCTGAAACAAAATCCAAAACGTTTCTGGTCTTTCGTCAACGATAAACGTAAAGAAAGTGGTCTTCCAGCGCAAATGGTTCTAGGTGACCATTCAGCCAGCACACCTGAAGATATTTGTAACCTCTTCGCTCAGCAGTTCTCTGGTGTTTTCGCCTCTGGCAGAAGTTGAAGATGCTATGAAACAGTTGAAATCGTCAGTGTCTCCTGGTCCAGATGGAATACCCTCGATTGTGCTACTTCGCTATCAAAACCGTTACAGATGATCATCAATCAGTCGCTTCGTCAGGAAACGTTTCCCGAATGCTGGAAGAAGTCATTCATCTTTCCCGTGTTCAAAAAAGGAAACAGAGCAGATGTTACGAACTATCGTGGCATCACCTCGCTTTGTGCTGGCTCAAAGCTCTTTGAGATTTTAATTGGAGGCTTATTGCAGCGTAGTGTTGCGCAGTATATCTCAACTGATCAGCACGGCTTCTGCCCTGGACGGTCGATTAACACAAATCTAGTGGAGTTCTGCTCCTTTTGTCTGCAACACATGGAGAAAGGAGCACAAGTCGATACGGTGTACACGGACATCAAAGCAGCATTTGACCGTGTTGATCATGCTATATTGTTGGCTAAACTAAGGCACTTAGGTGCTTGCGATGCTTTTGTGTGCTGGTTAGAATCGTTCCTAGCAAATCGCTCACTTTCTGTGAAATTGGGAAACGCTGAGTCGCGAGTCTTCCACTGTACATCAGGTGTCCCTCAGGGCAGCAACGTCGGGCCGTTACTCTTTTTGCTTTATTACAACGATGTGTGCTTATTACTTCCTCCAGGATGCGAAATCGTGTACGCTGATGACCTTAAAATATACCTTGAGGTTCGTACAGTTGATGACTGCATTAAGATGCAGAAATTGATTGACACGTTTTATGAATGGTGTGCTTGCAACTTGCTCAATATCAGCGTACCGAAGTGCTCTGTAATCAGTTTCAGCCGAAAGAAGAGCACTAAAGAATATCTTTATTCCATAAATTTCCAGCAAGTTCAGCGTGTGACAGTTGTGAAGGATCTTGGAGTTCTGTTGGACACAGGACTCTCATTCCATAACCACTACAATAGTATTATTGCTAAACCGAACAAAAACCTTGGTTTCATCATGAGAGTAGGAAAGGAGTTTCGTGACCCGTATTGTTTGAGATCTCTTAATTATGCGCTTGTACGCTCCATCCTGGAGACGGTGGCGGTAGTTTGGAGCCCCTACACCGACATCTGGTCAGCACGGATTGAATCTATACAGAGGAAGTTCATTAGGTTTGCGCTTCGAACTCTCCTCTGGATAGATCCGGTGGTACTTCCCCCATACGAAAACCGATGCAAGCTTTTAGGATTGGACACACTGGCTAAAAGGAGAGATGACATGCGTGCTGTATTTGTTGGAAAATTACTTTGCGGAATAATTGATTCCCCTAACATTTTGGCTAAGTTGAATTTGAACGTGACCTCGAGAGTTCTTCGTTCCAATATATGCTATGTATAACATTTTTAACTCTGTTTTACACTTGTTTGACTTTAACGTTAGCTGTGAAACATTTAAATGTCATTTACGTAATCGCAATTTAGTATAGTTGTTTGAGTTTTTAAACGTTTAAATCATGTAGACCATGTTTGTCAGAATTGTAGATAATAAATAAATAAATAAATAAATACAACTGGTCAAACTTACGGATTCTAAAATAACTTGAAAATACATGAGACATTAACAAAATCGAGGATCAGACCCCTACTTTGAATTAATAGCAGGTATAATTTGCTAGTTAACACATTGAAAGATGCAAAGTACGGAAATTATGCTGATAACTTGCCTCTAGGAATTAAAGGAATTTATCAAGGAGTTTCAAAAACTGCTAGAAGTATTTTAAAACATAAGTACAGAAAAAAAGTTACTATAAACCATTACTTAGCCTATCAGTAGGATTCTCACGATTTTTACACTCGGATAACATTAAAAGCAACGGAACTGATATCTACTGTAGACGATATTGGATCATTTAGGGTTCAGCTAGAATGTCATTTGTGTTTACATATTTGTGATCCAAAACCATCATTATATTATAAGCTCTTCTTCGTAGGATGTAATAGATGTGTAATTATTGTGAAGGTATCGCTGTTGAATAATGTACATTCTTTTTGTCGCCTGCTCTTTTCGGTTCTTATGTTCATATTTTTACACAATAAACGAGACAAAACACGACGGTTGACGGAGGCACACATTATCTACTCTAAAGTTATATGAACATTGGTTTCATTGCGTTTGGATCGTGAATCACTAACACACGTGCTGCTTTTAGTTTGCCTTGGCATGGTTTTGTGTCTAATTGTGAATAAGAAGCATGTGAGTCTGAAACACGTTAAAACTGAATGGATCAAACTAAAACAAATCATTTCTGAAAACTCTCGTTGAAGCAATATAAGGGAAACCAAAAAAAAACCAATTGAAAATAATCAAACGTATGCTACTATACACGAGTTGGTGTTGTTCAAAAGATTCTCAGCAAAAATGAGGAGTTCAAAACCGGGAAACTTATAACTGAAAGCAGGCGTAATAGGAAACAATATGTATACCAAACCATGGAACCAAAACCTACAATAAACATCCTTCGGTCCGCAGCGTGGATCGTCGTCTCGTCGGCGTGAGATTGCTATGCAGATCACTAGAACGCCCACCGCCACTACGATGATGGTCGCAATCAGCGGAACCATCACGTTCAGGTCGATCCAGTGCGGGATCCAGGGCGGGTAGATGACCCCCGGCTGGATCGAGCCCACTTTCGGAGCGATCGTACCTGATTTTGATTTTGATTTGTGGGTGAGCGTTTTGGTGTTTTTGGTACGATTTTCATTTTTGTATAAGAATGTGTGTGTTTGTTCAATACGACGCGCGATACCCGTAGCAGTAGTAGAGTTTGTTTGTTTGTAAGGATAGAAAGAAAGAGAAGAATAATTATACCTTTATTATTGTTGCCTTTGTTACGGAGCACACAAATAACAATAATTGCTATGATAATAACGAGTAAAGCGGCTACGACTGGTACTACTAGGTTCAAATTAGAGAGGATGATACGGATCGTGTCCTCGGCCGTTAACTCAGGTATATCGCGAGTGGGTGCGATTGTCCCTGAAACAACCAATCAGAAAGAGAGAGAGAAAGTGAAGAAGGGATATTATTCGATTAGTCGATTTGGCTTTTCGGTAACTGGTTTGAATTTAGTTTTTCATGTCTTTTTTTTTCAACTGTTAATTACTTTCAATATTTCACTACAACAGTAACGAAGTAATCTAAGAGATTTCCATTTCAAACAGTAACGATTGAGACATAGAAAAATTGCTAAACAACGTTTAGATGATTGGTTTAGATTTGCGATTGCTCTTAGAATTTCGAGCGAGTAATGTATCAAATGAGGAAACGTATAAATTACGAACAAATTAGAACGGCAAATAAGAGTCTATATGACAGAATGACATGAACTTGAACCAACAAGAGAAATAAACGGTTGAAGCACTATCTAAATTCATCTAAAATAGAAAAAAAATAATAACACTACTGGAGGTAACACCTACAAGAACTGGGAACATCTAGAAACAAAACATTCTACTCTGAAAGTAACAAAAGATTTTTCACAGGATGAGGATGAAGAGAGTCATGATGAGAACTTAAGTGATTTATAAGAAGCAAATTAGTGTTCTCTGCACCTGAAGAAAACAGTTGAATTGAATTATCTATTGCCATTGCTTTGAATTTCTGAGTCAGAGGAAGCATGAGAAGAAAATAGTAAAATCCAAAAGCACATCACTTTTGTCATTTTAAGTGACTTGTATTGTTGGCACAACCACCACAAACATTTGTATTGACCTTGCTTAAAAACTTTGCTGAAATCCAATTCTTCTTGGAAATATGCAAAACATTAAAAAAAAATGAATCAAACTATTAATTAACAACAATACTACACAAATCATGTTCAGCTGATTGAAATAAAATGTCCTCACCTTTAATTTGGCGATATAGCTTCATTACAGTCGGAGATATTTGTGTTTTAGTATACAAATGTTTTAAGTAAAATTTCATTTTTTAGCTGTATCTAGAAAACTATCCTACTGAGATTTTTTCCGACTAAATTTTTGTATTCAGCGCACGATTTTACATAAGAATAATAGGTCAAACATTCGAATTATTCGATTATTCGGTATTCGAATAACAATAGAAATAGGACAGCACTAGATGAATGTGAAACACAAGGGGTAAGTCACTCAGCACATTGTGCCGCAATTAAATTCGGCAAAGTTTGGACACATCCATCGGCACACCTTCGGCACACCTTCGGCACACCTTCGGCACAATCTCGTAGGCATTTGATTGTTGTAAATAAAATGGGAGCACTGTTGGTCACTGAATTTGTTCACAACATTACGTGTTGTTTGGCTGTATATTCAGGAACATGCTCTAATTAAAAATACCAGAGGAACTCAGACCAGCAGTTCACTTCTCGGTTCATTTATAGATTTAAATCCGAAATGCCACTAGGGCGATACCGGGTTGCAGGGATGGATATTTTATAAACAATCGCAGCTTGCTCTATGACCTGCACAATCGGCACACCTGCGGCAGACTGAAACAAAAGATGACCCAAGATTGGTGTGCGGAGTCACCTACCCCTTGGTGAAACGTCATTTTGGCATCCACCGTCAATGTTAAATAGTATTATGAACTAGTTTTAATTATTGTAAAAACCTGATTTACCCACCTATGGTGTGATCCGACCCTTCTTACATATAACATTTTATTTATCGCATTATGAGATTTAACTCAAGAAACACGACTTATTTCCTAAAATCCGTATTCACTGCAACTTGCTCCGGCCCTATCTACGGAACCCGATGACCGATTTCAAAACTATTCAAAAGGGTTATATTGGACCACGATTCCGTTCATTTGAAGGTTGTTGCGTCCAATTCGGTTCGCTGGTTGCCGAGAAACACGACTTAGTCCCAAAATCCGCGTTTTCTGGACCATGCCGGGGCCTATCTGCAGAAACAGTTCAAGCATAACTTTTCAAAAGGACGTAAGTCGCAAAAATAAACAAATCGATATTTTGCATCTAACCGAATATAAAATACATGCTTTTCCAACGAGTTAATGAAAAACAAGGTTTGAAATTGTAATGAATTATGGAAAATATATTTAATGAACGCCCTATGTGACCTTCTTTCATTGTTTTTAAAATGGTGTTGATACACCCTTTTATTGTCCACATGACTTAACTGTTAAAATTTGATGATAACACAAAAACTGCAGATACGCTCACAGTGAAGCGTCGTATGTGAAAAAACAAAGCAACCACTATCAATCAGCAAATGCGTCAAGTTTGTATGTTTGTTTTTGTATATCCGGGAGCAACATGTATTATTTAAAAAGTATTCTAATAAAATTACACTTTAATCTTGACTTTAATATTAAACTTCACATAACCAATCTGACCAGCGCTTTCTTAATACGAAAAACACAAAACGTATAACATCTAACAGCAGATAATGCGGTGACCCTCTCATCTCGAATATTTCACAACTCTGGGTAGTTATGTAAATAAATCAACCAACTGACAATTCCTCAATGCTTTTCGAGTTGCCGACGTATCTTCACTGCAAAACAAAAACCGGTGTATCTGATTTGACGTATGTGAAAACCCTTCTGTCAAATAGACGAATCATGCAGGGTGTATGTAACAATCAAGGTGTGATACCGACGAATCAATCAGGGTGTATGTGAGTAGTACACAAGTAAAAGGTGTATGATTTTGTTTTATCAAAAGTCTTGTCCGTGTTTGCAAAACTCGACATTTTTCACAATTCTCTTAAACGCTATCCCTTTATCAAACTAATAGCACAAACAGATTAAAAAAAATAGCATTAACTTTTAAATAGCATTTAATAATCACATATAGACATTGCTATCCAATGTTTCTAATTTCCTATCCAATGTTACATACGTCCTTTTGAAAAGTTATGCTTGAGTTAACCGATTCTTAAGGGATTTGCAAACATGGATAATAACTTTCGAAATGTCAATTTTAGCCACGAATTAAATTTTGCAAAGCCCTAATGAATAATCTAAATGTAGGCTGAACTTCCTGATCTATGTTTAAAGTTGCAGAAAGTATATGAAAACCTTACTAAACAGCATGAGCTTTTATGCCTAACGTTCAATGTCTAGGGGAACAGTGCTGTCATGGTAAATTTAGAGCAGATTACTCATATTTTTTTTTCATAATATTAGTTAGAATACGGATAAAACTTGTCTTTAATCAACTCGCCAAAATACTTCAAAATACTTATTAACTGAAGAGCTTTGAGTGTGTTGGTTTATTTCCTTTTAATTGCGTTATAATTGCTTATCTTTTGAAAGATACGCGTATTTCGTCTACTACTTGCAGACTTCTTCTTCTTCTTCTTCGCATTTCAAGCTTATTGCATATCGCATATTAGCTTATTGCGTGCTCTCAACTTAGTGTTCTAGATGCACTTCCACAGTTATTAATTGAGAGCTTTCGATGCCTGTACCATTTTTGCATTGGTATAATTGTGTGGCAAGTCCAATCATACTTCTATGCCCAGGGAAGTTGAGAAATTTTCCAACCCGAAAAATTCCTAGACCGGACCGGGAATTGAACCCAGCCACCTCCAGCATGGTCTTGCTTTGTAGCTGCGCCTTTACCGACTGAACTAAGGGACATGAGTACTTAGCACTGATGAAGTCTGCAAGTAGTAGACGAAATACGCGTATCTGTCAAAAGATAAGCAATTATAACGGAATTAAAAGGAAATAAACCAATAAACTCAAAGCTCTTCATGAAGGGATTCCGTAAAGAAGTTCGACAAATTTAAAAGACTTATTAGCTGTCAGAGCCCCAAGGGTAAAAAGTGCGTGGCGGTGGTGTAACCCAGCACGCCTGTCCGGTTGCCCAGAAGCGTGCTTGTTTACAGTATCGGCTTTTTAGTTTAACGGTGGATCAAAACGATACGATGTTTTATGGCCGAGTATGGGTCTTTGGACTTGGCCTTCTTCCGGGCAATCTTTTACCGTCTTTCGTTCAGCACAAAAAGCTTACGATATAAAACTAAAACTTGCCCTTATAAAGATCGAAAACCGTTGGCGATGATAAAACTGTAATCAATACTTTTTCTTGAGCCGAAAGCATTTTACTAATTCTTCAAGATCTTTAAATTTCCCCGAAAGCCTAGAATTTTCTGAAGTTTTCGGTGGTTCCCTTAAGTTATTAAAACTGCCCTAAAGAACTCTAAACTTCAATAAAGTTCTTTAGACTTCCCTGAACATTTTTTTTAACGATCCCTCACTTTCCCTGAATTTAATAGAACTGCCTTGAAGTTCTTTGAGGTTAGGTTAGGTTACTTTATTAAAGAGACTTTCAGCCATTGGCTGGTTCATCTCTGAGGATCTCCCGGGGGGGTCCCCCTAATACAGCCTTGTTTAATGAAGTTCTTTGATCTATGCTGAAGTTTCTGTAATTTCCCTGAAGTTTTCGAACCTCATGAAGCTTTTATTAAAATCTCTAAACATCCATGGACGTATCTGAAGTTTTAGTTCCTTCGTAATGTTCCAGCAATTTTCATAAAATTCATGGAACTTTCCTCATGATTTCACCATTATCCTGAAAAGTTTGGAGCATTGCTGAAATTTGCGGAAATATCCATAATTCCTCTGAGCATCTTGAAAGTTCCTGCACTTGCTAAATGGAAATTCTCTGAAGATCTCTGATCTTTCTCGAAGTAC